ACTCCTCCGTTTCCCAGATAATCTTAGGCTTCCCCTGGCTAAAGGCGCACAACCCAGACATAAATTGGGAGCTGGGACGAGTTGAGAAGTGGAGCAATAAGTGCCTCAAGAACTGTCTGCGCTCTGCGATCGCCGGGCAGCCAGTGGTCACTTCTCCTAGTGAGAAAGTAGATCTCTCCGCTGTTCCCTCTGCCTACCACGACCTTGCGGCGGCGTTTAGCAAACAGAGAGCCTTATCACTCCCTCCTCACCGTCCCTACGACTGTGCCATTGATTTACTCCCTGGCGCCCCCTTGCCGTCTAGTCGACTTTTTAATCTCTCAGGTCCTGAGAGGGACTCTATGAAGGAATATATTAACGAGTCCCTCGACTCCGGTATCATTCGTCCCTCCACGTCTCCTGTCGGTGCAGGTTTCTTTTTTGTTTCTAAAAAAGATAAGACTTTACGTCCCTGCATCGATTACCGCGCTTTGAACAACATTACTGTAAAGAACAAGTATCCTCTCCCCTTAATCAATTCCCTCCATGAACAGTTGCAATCCGCCACAGTGTTTACCAAATTAGATTTAAGAAATGCCTACCACCTCGTTCGCATAAGAGAGGGCGACGAGTGGAAAACAGCATTTAAAACTCCCCTCGGACATTTTGAATATTTAGTTATGCCTTTTGGTTTAACAAATGCCCCCGCGGTTTTTCAGGCCCTAGTAAACGACGTTTTGCGCGACTTCATCGGCGATTTTGTGTTTGTTTATTTGGACGACATCCTTATTTTTTCCCGTGACCCCGCTCTGCATGTGGAACAGGTAAGGAGGGTTCTCCAGAGGTTACTGGAGAACCAGTTATTTGTTAAGGCTGAGAAGTGCCAATTTAATGTCTCCTCGGTTCCCTTCCTTGGTTTCATTTTTGGGGAGGGCCACTGCAGGACCGACCCAGAAAAGACTAAAGCTGTGGTCGAGTGGCCTAGACCCGAGTCCAGGAAACAATTACAACGCTTCCTGGGCTTTGCTAACTTTTACAGACGCTTTATTAAAAATTATAGTCGAGTGGCTGCCCCTCTTTCCTAGCTCACCTCCACCTCAAGACCATTTATCTGGTCACCTGAGGCTGAAACTGCCTTCTTAAAATTAAAGACTTTATTTTCGTCTGCACCCATCCTCTCTCACCCTGATCCACGCAGACAGTTTATCTTGGAAGTTGACGCTTCTGACACTGGGGTAGGGGCGGTGCTGTCTCAACGATCCTTGGAGGACAACAAGGTCCATCCCTGCGCTTTCTTTTCTAAACGTTTATCCCAAGCAGAGCGAAACTACGACGTGGGAAACCGTGAACTCTTGGCTGTTAAGCTGGCATTGGAGGAATGGCGGCACTGGCTGGAGGGCACGGAGACCCCGTTTTTGATTTGGACTGACCATAAAAACTTAACTTATCTGCGGGACGCTAAACGCCTGAACCCCCGCCAGGCACGTTGGTCACTGTTTTTTACCAGGTTCAACTACGTTCTTACCTTTAGGCCCGGCTCCAAGAACGTCAAGCCGGACGCACTGTTTCACCAGTTCGCCCCCCCTGACAACACGGAGACCGAGGAGACCATCCTTCCCTCCACCTGCATCGTTGGGGCCCTCACGTGGCCCATCGAAGAGGAGATCCGGGAGGCCTGGAAGGTGGAACCGGACCCTGGTGGTGGCCCCCCTGGAACCTTGTTCGTGCCTACTGTTCTACGCCCAAAGGTACTACACTGGATTCACAATGTCAAACTCTCATGTCATCCAGGTTCCACCCGCATGATCTCCCTGGCCAGGACTCACTTCTGGTGGCCAGCCATGTCTGCGGATATTAGAGAGTTCGTTGCTGCCTGTCCCACGTGCGCCCGCAATAAAACGGGC